TGCTAGACAGATGGTTACACAGAGAGGGAAGGAGAGGGCACACCCTGAAGAGATATGATCTGATAACTGGAGGAAGACATACTCCAGCATAAGCACTTCACTGACTTTCTCTTATTGGAACTGATTTCTGAATGAGGTTTTGCCATCAGATTGAATGAAAATTGATAGCAAATATACAGAACTTTTTTGCCCAACACTAAATTTATTTTGACTCAATTTTTAAAATAGAAGCATTGCAAAATGTGAAAATATTTTGTTAATCTGCATCATTCAGTATGACCCTTTTGATGTATCTTTAAGCATCTACCAAGCAATCTGCAGAAAGAGATAAATGAAAGATTCCTCAAAATGTCTTCTCTCCAAGAGACTCTTAAGCTGAGAGTTGTTGCTTAGGAACAAAACTGGCCTTGCAGTTTCTTTCAAGATCTCTTTTACCCAGGATAGCTTGCAATTCTGTCATTTTTGTGGATGTGACTATTCATAAGAGATAGAAAAGGCCAATAGCCAATGTGTTTTATTTGATATTGGTAAGCCACATTTATTATATTTTTAAAAAATGCCTTTGTTGAGTTGAACATATTCTATTTCTAGATTGACTACAGATTTGGGACCAGTTGCTCCAAAGTATAGATAAGAACCTTCTGTATTTTTTTGCCAATAGAGGTATAGGCAGTACATTGGACAATAGGCAGTTGAACACAAAGAAACTAAAATGAGGGTCCCAGCACTACAACAGAATGGAAAGGAAGGTTGGAACCATCTATAGGAAGGCAATGAAAATGTGCAAATACTTGCAAATGAAGATCAGGAATTGGGGAAAAGGTTCAAATAAGATCCAAAGCCAGGCTCAGGGATTACAGACTGGGAAATATGGAATAAACCTTTTAGGTCAAAGCCAAGTGGAATTGAAGACAGTGGGTTGTTTGAATAGGAAAAAAATGACAGCAGAGACATGCTGGAGCCCAGTAAAATAATACTAGTATGCTTTTCCTTCCATGTTTTTTTAAATAAAAGTTTCTTTGAGTTTTATAAGGTTGGGGAAGGGATAGGACCAGGATAGGGATTAAAGTTCGGGGTGGGGCTAGGGGATTGGGGTTGGGACAGGATTGGGAACAACATTGGGGTTGCCCCCCAGTAACATTTTCAAGCTTTAGCAAACAGACTATTGTCCGGGTACATATGTTCAGTTAATACTAATTAATATAATAGTAAATAGCTGTGGTGAATATGATAAACAATAATCATAAACAGTATCAGTTGGTCAATACATATCATTCTTCTTACTAATATATATTCAAAGTAACATATCACATTCATTTCTCACTAGTTTGTTTTCCTAACCATTGATAAAATTTATCCCATGTTTTAAAATAATCTGAATCTTCTTT